TGACGTACAGGAGAATGGTCTTTTATCGTAACCCATCGTATGTAACGTATGTTATATGTTTAACTGTTGACAGTGGCTATGTTATTTGTGCAGGTATGCTGACATAGTTGGCAGCGTGGATTATTGTAGGAAGGGGGCCCATTCTGTGTGTTAATCAGCTCTGTGGATAACTTCCTAATGACCATCTGTTTCAGATTAGGTGGCAGTCTAAATGCCAGCACAGAGGGTTGAGGGACGGTGTCTTTATACCTGTTCCCCAGTGAGCATTACAGCTGATTTTATACGTTACAATTAAAGGTACATGTGTAGAGGTTTCTTTCTCTGTGTTGTAGTAGATGTGTATGTGGGGTTTGCAGAGCAAAGTACATTTTACTGTTGATGGTCCTTGATTTGTATCCTTTCTGAATGAATGATTAAGAGAGGGTGTTTAGGTGCTATTTTCCTCAATGTGAGAGTAGATACAATGATATTTATAGGTTGGCTCTAAATTATGTCTCTTTTGGTATTAAATGGATGGAAGCTGGAGTTGTACAAATGCTGCATCTGTGTTTTGGTTTTCTGTAAGAAGATGTGTTGAGAGTGCCATTCGAGAAGGTCCCTGCGCTGTGTCCGTGTTAAGTTTTATCAATGGGTGGAAATGGTTAAAAAAAAGTAATGAAATTGCTTTAGGTTTTTTTTTTTGTCCAAATGATAAACATATCATTCATGTAGCAGTAGTATTTGTACGTTTTGTAGGTTTAAGAAGTTTCCATTAAAGATCATCCCTAAAGAAATTGGTGTATTATGGTGCCATTTTAGAATTTATAGTTGTCCTGATTATTTGTAAGTAGATGTTCTTGTTAAATTTGGATACGAGAGAGGAACTGGGTGACAGAAAAAGAAAGAATGGCATTTCAGAGAGGAAAAAGTAAATGTGTGGAGGAAAAATAATATGCTGGATGACATAAGAGGAAAGCATGGTGCAGAAGAGGAAACAAATAAATATACATGAAAAAACGGCAGAAAGAATAAGGGGAAAATGGGCACAAAGACACATAAGCATGGGGCGGGGCCTAACCTGCAAGCTGAACAGTCGCATGGTGGAGGGGCTCCCACTGTTCATGCTGATTATAGGGAAATACTCATGGACTTAAAGCCTAAAAAGATGCCGGGGTGCGGTACCCAAGTTAAGGGCATCCTGGTGAATTGCCTGATACCAAACACTAGTGTTTCCCGCAATCGTAAACACGAGGTCTGCGGCCTGAAGCTGGGGGGAGATGGACACTCTCCTCGCCCATACGCCGGGGATACAGAGCCACATACTGCCTGCATCCCTCCCCCTCAGGACTGGTGGGGGTGATCCCGGTCCAACCCCTCAAAGCAGCCCGGCCACAACGGACACAGACAGCAGAGCCACATGAGCAGCCTTAAACTACAAAGGCTTGTGCAATGGTGGACACCACGTGCGACTACAACAGCAGCAAAGTATGGTACAACACCCTGACAAGTCTTAATGCCATATTCAATGCCTTCTGGGCGAAATTGGCAAGTAGGGAGCGGCAGAATAAAACATCAGTATACTCACCCGGAGAATGGTTGGCGCGTCCCTGCTACAACCACGCTGGTCCTCGTCCAAAGGGAACCAGAAGATGGCGCCGAAGATGGAGACCTCTCCTGCCTCTCAGCAAACCAGCACGTTTGAACCAAGCAGCGGTGCCAACCAGAAAGATCCTACAGGTTCTCCCTAGAGCCTGCATGAAGCCGAGACTTGTTGTGCAACCGCCGAGAGGTAGACCTCCCTCACAACACTGGATCCTGACAACGCCACGGAGATTCCAAGAGTCCCTGGCAGGGGCACCATCTACTTGCAACATATATGCAGATCTCCGCAGGAATGGGCGGGCCTGAGGCCGGGACCCAAGCAGCTGGACTCTATTTTGCCCCAGGAGGACTTCCATGCATCACTAACACCCTTTCCTATGCTGGGTATTGGCTGTAGGGGAACTCACATTCTGGGAAAACACGGCAGACCCCGTTCAGAACCCGCCTTGGCCACAATGAACGCTATCTAGTCCTTTCCGCAGCCCACTAAGCCACTATTTTCTTTACCTAGCTTTAATGTGAATCATAGTTTGCAAAGGCTACTGCATGCTTCGTAGGGTACACTTTACCCCTCTATATCCATATGGGTTCCCAGTTGCCTCCCTGCCAGTCATACTCTGCTAACTCATGTTATCTTTTGAGCGCAGCACGGGTACACTGACCTGATGTAACTAGTGAGCACACCAAGTTTCTGCTGCCGGTCAAACAGGCTCTTTAAATCAATGTAAATACCATGCCTGAGAATTCTGTGGATCTGTTTAAAATTCATGTGCTCCAGTTATTATTTGCTTTTCATTAGTTTGCCTAGCATGCTAACCTAATTTATTATAATGGTAACGTTTAAGCTCTTTTGTTTCTCATTCATATGCCTACCACAAATGCTGATATGCACAACCTTTTATAACTGACCATACGTTCATATCCGGTTTATAAAAAAAATAAAAAATGTGCAACTCAATCATGATAATTTATGCTTTGATGTGCCTGTACCTGCTATCGTGGCACCACAGGCTTGTTTGTTAACCCTATTGCACAGAAAAATAAAGCATTAAAAAAAAAAAAAAAAAAAAGACACATAAGCATAAGGTTTAGATTATAATTTCTGGGAAGTGGGAGAGAATGGGTCGGCAACAGGTGTTGAAATACTTTTTAATAACAAGAGTTGCAGGGGGACAGTCAGCATTTGGCCCTGAAGTCTCTCTACCTCCTGAAACTTTTTATTTCCATGGTGGCCTACTGGAGGGAGCAGGCAATCTGGGTGGCACAGATCTCTCTGCACATTCGCTGTGGGTAAGGCAAAAGAGGAAGCAGTGAAAACCACATGTTTCCCACGCTGCTTACACCAAAATCAATTTGTGGGTGTTTACATGCACATGTAGTTCTGCATACGCCTGCACCTACTGTTAATATCTGTTAAGTGAGATCTCAAAGTATCGATCATGTTTATATCATAGTTTTCTTTTGCTGTGATGTAAGACTATAAAATTAAAAGTAAAAAAAAAAAAAATCTCATAAAATAAGTTCCATGCAAACAGGTTGTTCAATTGACCATGGCAGGTAGCATCACATGCATCATTAAATCTTAATGGCTGATCTGGACTATTGCTAAAATGCAATCAGATAAAATAATAAAGCATGTCTGTGGCTCTATAAATGAATACAAAATGTCTAGTGAAAATGTGCTTTAAATACAAAAATAAAACTATACATTATATCCTTTCAAAGGGACAATTATCTCATTATTTATACAGTCTGGGATTTTCAGGTTAATAAATAATGAAGTCAGATTATCTTAATTGGCAGCAGATTAATAGTTGAAAATATCATTGAAGGGAAGTCCCTGGGACATAGTCCAAAGAAACCCTTATGGCTTCTTTGGAAGATAAATGGAAGAAAACTAGCTAAAATTATACATCACAGAAGAGACACATTGTATGAAAGAAATTGTTAACCAACCAGCTGCTGGTTTTCATACATTGCCTTGCACAATTTTTATGACCCCCCTTGAGCATTATCATTTTTCTAGATTACACATGACACATTCAAAAATTATATTTTTTTACTGGAAATTAATCTGCTCTAAAAGTACATTTGTAAAGCCCAAATTAGGAATTTTATTTAAAAGAAAAACTAAAATATGCTAAAATACTACGAAGACATAATATGATTGATAACCAGGCCCACTAGTGACATCTACTTATCTGATTGGCTCCCTCGATTTTACTCCCACGTGGCTTACATAGTTACAAAGGCGATCAGGCTCATTATATCTTTTGCCCCTGACAAAGGTGCATGTAGCTGGGCACCGAAACGCGTGTCTGGTTTCTTCTGCTTTTATGGGCACTTCACTTTTTGTTTGACACACTTAGTGATACTCTTGATTTACGCGTTATGATTTAATTATTTCCTTGCTATCTATTCCACTTTACCTATTTAGCGAGTTTTTACAGGGAGAGAGGCTTACTCTAACTACCATCTGTCTTTTTACTTCTTATTACTTTCATAGATACTTGATATTTTTTTAGGTTCAAGAGAGACACTATATTAGCTCATATTTTCCTCTCTACCCCTGCATATAACTTGCAAAGTATAGTATATACATATAGCTTGATTATTTTTCATAAGCAGTGGGATTTGATTAATGCAGGATTGATGATTGTGAGCATTTCGGCCAGATGATTAAAACTTTTCTTTGCTCACTTTAATCTACAGATTTGCGCCTTACCTTTACCGATTATATTCATAGGTTAACTTTAGGAGAAGCTTTATAAAGCTTGTATCTTTATGTTAACATTTTTTGTAAAACAATTTTTGTGCCTGATCTCTAGGATGCTATTATTGTATCCTTTGCCAGAGGAATCCTATAAATAACATCATTCTGTTAAGTAGGTCCAGGTGGCATCTTCTCACGTTTATGTGATTAGGTGCTTTCTTTCTAAAATATGCTGCTTGCATAACTCTTGAAGCTTCTCCTATTTATATGTATTGAGGAGAAACACAGTTTGCTGCAATGACAGCGTCAAGTCTTTTGGTATAACTACCAGCTTTGCACACCGATTGGCAATAATGGTTCCAATTCATGCAGATTTGTTCCAGATAGGTCAGGTTGCTTGGGTGGCACTTGTAGACTGCAATTTTCAAACTGTCCCATAGATTCTCAGTAGAATTAAGATCAGTACTTTGCTTGAGCCACTCTAGAATATTTGTTTTCGTTCTTGAGCCATCCAAAGTTGGTTTTGCCTTGCTCGGGATCAGAACTACCCTTAGTGGGGCCCTGTAAAGTGTATTGATCCAGTTGAGGATATAGATATATCGCCCTGAACCGGACTGTATTGACTTGCAAAAACAAAAAAAAGAGAAGTATTGTCCCGTTTAGCAGGAATTTACTTAAAACTTAACATTTAATAAATATTAAAAAATATATAGGTGAAGAGTAAGTGAAAAATAGACTCACCCAGGTGATGTGCATCTGAGTCTATTTTTCACTTACTCTTCACCTATATATTTAGTTATGATTATGGATGTATTTTAGGTTTGATCCTGAAAAAAGTCATTGATGTAGGACTGAAACGTCGATCTTTTAATGCATACCTAATAAAGTGGATTTTTATGGAAGACCGTGAGTGCAGCTTTCCCTCTCTTTAACTTGGATAACCTCAACCCTGGCTGGCACCTGGCATTTAGTTTTAGTCTGTGTGCAAGGATCATTTGCTTTTTCCTTTTATATATATATATATATATATATATATATATATATATACACACACACACACACACACACCATAATTCATTAGAGCTCAACAAAAATACCAAATAATTTAATTTGCAAGCCCTATGTTTGACCCTGTAACTTTCCATAACCCCATGAAACCTGTACATGTGGGACATCACAGCATACCAATATGTGTGTTTTATTGCAGTAAAAGCCAACAGTATTAAGAGTTTCCACTTAAATACTGCTGCAGTTCTTTTGTCTGTTAAAACCAGGCAAATCTCCATATAAGTTGGTTGATTCAGCTATGCAGACACAAATGAACTGAAACCTTATTTCCTTCACCTGGGTGGATCAATTACCCTCATCCAGCCTTGGAGACATGCACTTATCAATCTAATCAAATGGTGTATATCTTCTTTTGAACAATTGTGCACGGTTTTAACACAAGTTAACCAAAAATAATAAAATACTTACAACATTAGTATGTGCAAACACTTAGTGAAAGTAGTGTTAAAATGGTATCTGCTTTGTCCTGCCTTCTATGAACTATGAAGAAGTAATAAAAAAAAAGGAAAACATAGGTGATGTCATCACCCAGTGAATTTTGTTTATGGCATTCTTGAGCCATTCTATTCCAAGAACGTGTTTTATCTAATCTTTCAGAAACTGCTCCACATAATTTTCTGAAATGACGGGAAAAAGGTCAGTAGAGGACCAATTTAACATCTTCTCGTCCAGTGTGCCCGTTTCCCTTCTAATAACAAACATTAATGCACAATACATTTTCAAACTTTTAAAGGGATAGTACAGTTATCATTTCATAAGATTATCCAAAAATATTACACCGAGGCCATTTTTCTCACTAAATGACAGATCTAGATACACCTCATAAACTAAAGTCCACAACATTACATGCCAGAGTATTGTTTTCAAGAAAATTATTTTTACGCATTAACCAAGTCTTTTTTTTACTTCAAATCATCACATTTTTAATTTTATAACAACAAGTTTGAAGAAATAACTTGCTCTTTGTGTGAATACGGATGCTGCCTTCACCATGATTACAGCGTAACTCTGAGCACCAAAATAACTTTAGCTTAATAAAGACGTTTTGGTGTATAGATCATGCCCCTACAGTCTCATTGCTCAATACTTTGCCATTTAGGAGTTAAATCACTTTGTTTATACACTCCTAGTCACACCTCCCTGCATGTGACTTGCACAACCTTCCTAAACACTTCCTGTAAAGAGTCATCTAATGCTTACAATACCTTTACTACTAATTCTGTTTAATTTAGAACTTATCTACTGCTCTGTTACTAGCTTACTAGACCCTGCAAGGTTACCTGCATGTAATTAAAGTTCAATATACAGAGCAGGAGATAAAAACCTTTAAAGTAAGTTACATTTGATTGAAAATAAAACCATTTTGTTTAGATTCGTGGCCTAGGCTATCACTGATTCCCAGGCCTAGCAGACTGCAGTGTTCTGGGGAGAACCAGGCTACCAGAACACACCCTGTTTGTATGATGTCAGAGGTGCAGAGAAGGATTAAGATTACACAGGGCCCCAGGCAGAATAATATCAGATCACTCCCATCACATAGGGATGGTTAAGAAGGCCAGGCCATTTCACCTACCGGTTTAATCCTTATTTACACTGGAGATGTTTTCCAGTGACTGCAGGGTGAAATGTTATTGGTGGCAATGGGAGAGTCTGTGTCTGTTAGTTATGCACAGATCTCTTTCATGTCCCTCCATACTGTGGAAACCACGCTGGTGCAGGTTGCAGGGATATATGAGGACGCACTTTGCAACTCCTGCAGCTTCAATCGGTGAGCTCTTTATTTATTGCATGCTGCATGTGTGTAGGACCAGCCACACTGATCTGTGTGATCGATGAGTTTTGTGAGTGCAAAAAACAAACAAAAAAAACAAAACATTTGTTTATACTCCCCTTCAGACAAAAAAGATTCCAGCCCTCGCTTGACCCCAGTAATTGACTTCAAGCTCAAAACGTCAAACCAAAATTCTAATCAGTGTCTATATTCACATGCACATCTACAACACACATAACAAAGCAGGTGCCGGTTATCAGCGTGTCTAGCCACATGCGTGTATATAACCACACACATATAAAAGAGCAGGTGCCTAGCATGTTCTTACTTTGATCTTAAGAGGAGTTAAACACGGCCATACGTTTTGGTGGTGAATTAATATTACCTAATAAGCAGTTGTTTACTTTATTCTTTAAATGTGAATAAAGAGTTTTGCAAGTAGGGTAAACCAGTTTCCTCTTTTGGAAGGTAATATATTTTCCCACATCTACTCTTTAACTCTTTGTCCTAAAATAATATTTCAAGAGTGACATAAATGACTGAAAAAAATATTAAAAGAAAAACTAATAATGAGGAAGATGTCAAATAAATAAATAAATACAACAAAACAAAAACAACTACTTTACTTATGTAAAATCCCCATATATTTTTGCTTCTGCATTTAAAACTAGGCACATAGTTACCATAATGAGAATTAGGATAGTCATTTTAAAAGTAATTTTCCCTGTGGACTGAAGCTTTGCAAAATGTCTACTTTGAGAGAAAAGAAAACTCATAAAAAAAAAAAAAAATCATTAAAGGGAACTACACATTCACCAGATAGAAGCATATTAAGTATCTGAATGGCTTATAGGTGAACTGCACCTCTGAGTAAAACATTAAAAATGACCTAAATTACCTATAAGTTGAGTTAACATTTTATGGTGCTAGTTTCATTTTGAATTGTAATGAAAATTAGCAAACTACATCACAATCAAGATCGGCCCATGCACAACCAGGGCACACACTGTAAATAAGAGGGAGAAATAGAAATGTTCAAGTCAATTTACTAAGCAGTGTAAATCACCGTGTTGTGGCTGACTTCATGTAAAGTTCTGGACATTGACTATCATGCGTTGAAGGCTGGCATCTAATATGAACATAGCTCAAGTAATAGGCTCTACCCAGTGATACTAATTAAAACAAAATTAATAATTAAGAAACGGGAAAAAAAAGTGAAGTTCCCTAAATCCCCAATGCTGTAGGGTATAAAGGCTTATAATCGAAAGGAACACTCCAAGCACCACAACAAGGACAACCTTCAGTAGTAGTTATGGTACCATGAGAGGCCTGCCGCCATCTGAGGGTAAATAATCAAACTGACTGAAATTAGTTTGACAACTTATCTTGGGCTCACCAGACACTCTCTGCCTCCTCCCCTGAAGCTAGAAAGCCCTACACTGAGCTAAGTCTGGTGGGGCCTCACAGCCATTTAAGTAATCTAGGAGAAAAAGAAAGGAAATTTTGGTCACCCAGATCGGGCTATCCAAGAATGTAACTTGTGTGGGCTTTCTATGGATTTTGAGGGTATTTTTGGGATGTTTGTAAATTGTATGTTTTTGTAGCGGAGAGATAATTTAATTATATGTTTGCTTCTCAGATAATTATCTCTCAGGCACAAAGGATCATGGGAGGGATATACCTTGTATTGGAAACCCCTTGAATGGGCTATTGCATAAAGGCCATGTGTAGCCCTGAATAAAACAGATGACTCCCAGCATTAAGTATTGGCTCATGTGTGGGGGGAACAGCTATACTGCTATATCACTTGATCTTTTACTGGCTATACAGCGATACTCTCTTGGAGGAGAGGTCTTCCCATTGGGAGCTGGATCCAGGTGTTCGGTCCAGGGTGGGAAGGGAAGGCGAGACCCTAGCCAAGTTGCAGCGGCTACAGTGGTTATGGTGTCCGGTGCAGTGCTTATGGTACTCTGTGAGCACAAGTAAGCGTGATTGGCGGAGGTACCCAGTGGAGGTGCCATGCCGTCCGCCACGGTTGGTTAGTCATTAATAGTAGGTAAGGCTATATGGAAAGAATTGTGATTCTAATACTAATGTGAATTTGTCTAATGTGTGACATTTCAGGGTGATTACCACGTAACTTAGGTTTATATAGGACTGAGCTATTGTATGATATCTGACGAGTGGTAGGAATGAGTTAGGAATCAGAACAATCTGTGAGAAAACATGTTATCAACAAGTAAACCAATCTTGTGGTTAGCTTTTCTTGAATTTACTAATTTATTGTTTATGAAAAAAAGTCTAGAATCCTTAATTAATTCGGGTTCAAAAATATTACTGAATAATATGAATCACAGTAAGGTGCCATTCTTAATTTATAAAGTGTTAGTCTGGGGGGGCCTGCAATAACGGGCAAAAGAATGCTGATACCGAGCGACCCACAAGCGACAGCGGCAAACGGTGTCCGGGCACAAACACAAGACGACATGAGCAACAAATTGACACCAACCCGGCACCGGAGCACTGCAGAAAAGCCTGCACCGGCCATGCGGCCTAAATTAGAGCAAAGCCTGAGGTCCGGGGGAGGCGGCAGACCTCCCGGCACAGAACGAGCTCACAAGCGAGAGCACAATACAGCCCTGCTACCCCCTCGACCGGCGAGGGTCATCCCGGTCCTCGCTGGGGACGAACACCCCCGCATTAATGCCTGCCCAAGCGCCAAAATCCATGGCCAAACGGGACCGCCAGGGCCTAGCCAAGATGGCGGCACAGACGCAGGCCAGAACAAAGCACGCACTTACTCAGCCACCCAAGCACACGCTGGAGTTCTTCGACCGGCTTTGCACCTACCTCTGGGCACAGTTCAATGCCCGGAGACAGCTCTACAGACTGGCTGTGAGAAAGGTGGCAGCATGGATCCGCCCGGCTACCCGGCGAGGCCTGCGGGGGAATCCCCCTTGT